CATCTTCTTGTGTTATCCTAGAATTTAAGCTTTATTTTCTTTCTTTCTTCCTTCCGTCCACCCTTCTTTCTTCCTTCCTTCCTTCCTTCCTTCCTTCCTTCCTTCCTTCCTTCCTTCCTTCCTTCCTTCAATTCCTTTCTTTCTTTCTTTCTTTCTTTCTTTCTTCGTTCATTTGTTTTCGTGCCTTACTTTCTTCTTTTTTCTTTCTTTAACCTTCGTCGTCATTTTTACCCATATCTTGCGTTTTTCTTAGCATTTAAGCTTCCTTCCTTCCTTCCTTCCTTCCTTCCTTCCTTCCTTCCTTCCTTCCTTCCTTCCTTTCTTTTTCTTTCTTTCTTTCTTTCTTTATTTATTTTTCTTTCTTTTTTCATGTAGTCATTTTTTATCCATCTTCTTGTGTTATCCTAGAATTTAAGCTTTATTTTCTTTCTTTCTTCCTTCCATCCACCCTTCCTTCCTTCCTTTCTTTCTTTTTCTTTCTTTCTTTCTTTCTTTCTTTCTTTCGTTCGTTCTTGTCTTCCTTTTTTCTTGCTCCACGTACTCATTTTTGTGTTTATCTTATGATTTAAGCTGTATTTTCTTTCTTCTTTCCTTTCGTCTTTTCTTTCTTTCTTTTTTGTCCCACGTGGCCATTCTTATACTTCTCCTCTATTTATCTTAAGCTTTATTTTCTTTTTCTTTCTTTCTTTCTTTCTTTCTTTCTTCGTTCGTTCCTTTTTTTTCTTCCTTCCTTCCTTCCTTGCTCGACGTAGTAATTTTTATTCCACTCTTGTGTTTATCTTAGCATTGAAGCTTTGTTTTCTTTCTATCTCTATTCTTTCTTCATGTAGTTATTTTTTTATCCATCTCTTGTTTTTATCTATCTTATTATTTAAGCTTTCTTTCATTCTTTCTTTCATTCTTTCTTTCTTTCTTTCTTTCTTTCTTTCTTTCTTTTACGTCTTACTTTCCCTATTCCACAGAACCTTCATTCCTACTGCCTTTCGTTCAGTCATTTGCTTAGCGTTAATCTTTCTTTATTTTTACTTTTACATATTTCCTTCCTTCCTTCCTTCCTTCCTTCCTTCCTTCCTTCCTTCCTCTCACCCTACCCCCATTCCTTCCTTCATTCCTTACATCATTCCTTCCTTCCAGTGTGCCTTTCCTTGTCCTTCCTTCCTTCCTTCCCTTCCTTCCCTTCCTTCCTTCCTTCCTTCCTTCCTTCCTTCCTTCCTTCCAGAGTAATTTTCCTTCCTTCATTCATTCCTTCATTCCTTCCATATTTCCTTCCTTCCTTCCTTCCTTCCTTCCTTCCTTCCTTCCTTCCTTCCTTCCTTCATTCATTCCTTCCATCTTTCCTTCCTTCCAATGTGCCTTTCCTTGTTCTTCCTTCCTTCCTCTCCCTCTCCCCATTCCTTCCTTCCTTCCTCCCCCCCCTCCCCCATTCCTTCCTTCCTTCCTCTCACCCTCCCCATTCCTTCCTTCCTTCCTTCCTTCCTCACCCTCCCCATTCCTTCCTTCCTTCTTTCCTTCCAGTGTGCCTTTCGTTTCCTTCCTTCCTTCCTTCCTTCCTTCCTTCCTTCCTTCCTTCCTTCCTTCCAGTGTACTTTTCCTTGCTTCTTTCCTTTCATTTCTTCCTTCCTTCTTTTCAGGGTGCCTTTCCTTTTCCTTTTCCTTCCTTCCTTCCTTCCTTCCTTCCTTCCTTCCTTCCTTCCTTCCTTTCAATCTGCCTTTCCTTTTCCTTCCTTCCCGTTTTGCTTCCAGTTAATCTCTTTATTTTACATTTTACCCACCGCTTTACTTTCTTCTATTCCTTTCCGTCATTTCTTCCCAATTTCATTTCATCCATCTTTCTTTTTTTGCTTTTTTCTTTCTTTCTTTCTTTCTTTCTTTCTTTCTTTCTTTCTTTTCCTGTCCTCCCTTTCCCTACTATACTTTCCTCCATCACATTCTTTCTTTCTTTGTCCGTCTTTACGCTTTTCGCTCTTTTTAAGTTTTACCTTCCTTCCTTCCTTTCATTCATTCCTTCTTTCCTTCCTTACCTTACATGAATTTAATCCGTCTTTCTTTCTTTCTTTCTTTCTTTCTTTCTTTCTTTCTTTCTTTTACGTCTTACTTTTACTCTTCATCTTTTTCTTCATTCCTACTTCCTATCTCCTTTTTCTATCTTCAATCGCTACCGTTAATCTTTCCTTATTTTTTTACATATTTCCTTCCTTCCTTCCTTCCTTCCAATCTGTCTTTCCTTTTCCTTTCTTCCTTTTTGCATTCAACAAATCTCTTTTGTTTACATTTTATCTCCCCCCTCTACTTCCTTTTATTCCTTTCCGTCATCCCTTCGCAATTTCATCTCAACCTTCTTCTTTTCTTTCTTTCTTTACTTTCTTTCTTTCTTTCTTTCTTTCTTTCTCAATTTTGCCTTCTCTCCCTCCCACTGCTTTACTTTCCCCCACTTTCTTTCTATCTTTCTTTCTTTCTCTGCCTGTAGTTAAACATTCTTTTTTATTCCTTACCTCCTTCC